CTTTAATATAAGTTTAACATAACAGCAAATGCACAACGTTTGCTGTTATGTTAAACTTATATTAAAGTTTTTCTTCATTACCCATTCAAGCCGTCTCCAGCCACTGTTAACATTTGTATTACACGCTACAAATAATCATTTCTAATCTTCACATTACAATAATATATATAAACTTTAGAACAGTGATGCATTATTTTGGATACTGAAGTGGATTTAAGTGAAATACAAAAAAGCATGCCTTTAATAAACAAGACAATGTATACATATTTTTCATAATTCGTACATATAATAATCATTCAACTGAGTAAAGGAAATCGACACCTAGTTTAAAGTTCGAAGGTCAATTCTACAAAATATTGGTTAAAATGTTATGTTGAAAGAAAGATGACAATATAATATTTAAAAAAAACATTAATGACGAAGTTTTGGAACTGTAAGCCATGTTGAAACTGACGATGTAGTACTTGTGCAACGTATGTATGGACTCAGAATCGTTTTCAAGGTGGCACCACCTAGTTGTCAAAAGCGGGAAATAAACCAATGAAATTTCCCGAAATGATTTGTTCCTGCGGTAAAACTTTATATGTCAGTCGTATTTACGATATATATATAATAAAAATATTAAAATACTTTCAATAATGTTCAAGTACAATCCATTGAAGCCTATTTTTCGTTCGATTTAAAGATTCATAGCTCGTGAAAGAGGTCACAACAATCTTGAAAAAATCGATGTTCCCTAGGATTGCAATCTGAACAATACAATCCGTGTCTAAAATTCATTGCAGCAAGATCATGACTCCGGTTGGAATACTATGGTAACTAAAGCGTGCTTTATATATTTTACGTCAAACTCTTGTTAGACAGAGAGATCGAAAACTCAGCGTGTGAATGGTTTAGGTTGTATTTGAGAAACAAATCCACAGTAATTCTAACATCCTCTGATTGAAAACAATAATATGTCAACTACACTATATCTGCCATATCCAGTGCCGAAGAGGATACAACGGTTACAGTAGTGATCTGATCGCTATTTACATCAGTTGCAAGACCAACAGCTGCGTTGGTGTTAAGAGAAGTGTAATTATCATAAAGTATTATTTAAGTAATTTACAAATCAGAATTATGATAACGATTAATAACATAATATTATTAACGTATTTTTATCCCCATTATTATAATATTAACTCATTCAGAAAAAATGGTGAACGGACCAAGTAATCACAACGTCAACGAGAGAACATCACATCAGTAATTCAAAGAAACTATGAGGAAAAGCAAAATAATACACAACAATATGCCAATCACACCATATCTGCCCAGTGCTGACGAGGCCTTTCAGTTGGTGTTTATGTAGATATAGGCAGCTAAAGAGACAAAGTACAGCCCTTCCATTAATGTGGATTTAACAATGGATTTAAATTGAGCAAACAAGATATAATTTAAGAACGAAAGGAAATACACATGAGGCTCCAACACAACATAATAATTCTTGAAAATACCTAAGGGATTAGATCAAGAATGTATTGTTAAAAATATAGCTGGCCTAATATCAATGTCTTATGACAAGTATAATTAATTATACCACTAGACCACATCAAGCCCTTAATTGTACCTACCTCTTGAACACACACAGAAAATATATATTTATTTAAACAGATACGTCTGGAACACACAAAATATACATATTTATTTAAACAGATACGTCTGGAACCCACACACAATATATATATTTATTTAAACAGATACCTCTGGAGCATACACAGAAAATATATATTTATTTAAACAGATACGTCTGGAACACACACACAATATATATATTTATTTAAACAGATACGTCTGGAACACACACACAATATATATATATATATATATTTATTTAAACAGATACCTCTGGAACACACACAATATATATATATTTATTTAAACAGATACCTCTGGAACACACACAGAAAATATATATTTATTTAAACAGATACGTCTGGAACACACACACACAATATATATGTTTATTTAAACAGATACGTCTGGAACACACACAATATATTTATTTAAACAGACAGGGAGAATTTTCCTCCAATCCAGAGGATACGAACGAGCTGGAAAAACCTTGCGTACGACCGGAAGTGGATCTTCGTTCTTCAGTCTACTGTCTCATAAAGCACTCGAACTTTTTAATTTTTATTATTGTTTGTGCGAACCTGTGAGCTTTTTGTAAAATTACAATACTCGAGGTTAAACTGATTACGAATTCTAGCGTGACATCAAAAAATAAACATATTTCAATTTTCATTACGGCTACATCATTCCCGGTGTCCCTCACGCATATAATGTTTTAGGGCACGTGCGTGCATACTAACCTTCGTCATATACGTCAACACTTGTGTTAGTTTAGTGGAAACGTAGCTTCTGGAGGTGGCTAGAGTGTATTTATAGTTTTACGGGTAAGTTAACGTTGTCAATGATGGCAAACGTAGAATTGTGAGAAAAATATGTGGTTTTGTTTTTCAAGTGAAACTAGCCACACAATTCCGTAACACAAAAGCATCAAAACAGTTGAAGATGTGTAGAAACTCTAGAGAAGTTTACAATATAAAAAAAAATCAATATAAACCGTCCAAACACCTTATCGAGTAGTCTGACAGTTGTTTGTCAAAGATGTGTAGAAACTCTAGAGAAGTTTAAAATATATA